GTAAATTCTAAGCAGGAATTTACATATGTTGTCACTGTCCTGCTAAAATTCAAAATCTTGTCAATGAACTTGTTGAATATATGTTCTCAACTATGTTAAGTTACTTTAATGAATATCAACTGCTACCTTACATAGGCGGAAATTATTAATTTCTTTTTAAAATCTATAAATTTTTGAATTATAAATTCCAAGACATTTTTACACACAAGAACTGAAGCACAAGGCCAAATTATAGTCTATTATAAAAAGATCTATCTTTATAGCCAAGTGTATTGTAACAAATACATAAGTAAATCTAACCAGATTTCTGTTATTTCTGAGGTTGGTATAGAAAAAGTTACAGAAATTCAGTTTTTTTTTTCTTATAGAGAATATAATGAAATAAAAAGGAATACTAAACTCTGAAATCCATGATTTGGACTCCAGTTTACCTATGTACCTGATAATGCTGCGCTTCCAAATTACTTTTTTATGTCAGGCCTCAGTCTCTTCTTCCATAAAATGGGAGGAGTTCTTAGTTGATATCTTCTAAATCTAAAATGTGATGACTCTGTGATTTTTAAGCCATTGATTATAAGGTCTTTTGGCTTTGTGTATGTTCAAATTTCAGGTATTATTCATATATCAATGTATGAATATTGTAACAAAATAAAAAACCATTGGCACCATACTTGTTATACAGGAACATAAAGAGTTTGTGATATATATATATTATTTATACTTTTCCACAGGTGAGATATTAAAGATATTTCAAAGATAGGAATACAATAAGAAAATGATTTTGTAATATTTAGTGTCCTGCATGACTTACTTAAAATCATTAAATTGGCTTTGCAGCTTTATATCTACATCACTAATGGATTTAGGATAAGTTTGGGATAAGTTTTAAATTGTCATATGTGGACTTCCATTTAAATTTGCATAGCTATTACTGCAGGTCAAATCAGTGAATGACTTTTTCCTTATTTCATAGATATCCAAAGATTCAGGCAATGTTGTTTTAGTAGATGTCTCTCAACTAAAGACATGGTCTCATTTCCATAGTTATTAGTCTATTGACTGTATCAGGCCAAATATAACAGCAGTTTCATCATATGCAGATTCACTGTGCCTCTTGAAAGACTCCATAGTTGAAAACATGAGAGTCATATTATAGAGATTATGCTTATGGAATTAAATTAGGAAGTGGTGGCTGGCATCATTATGCAGATGTATTACTACCAAAATATATATAGTGTTTTTATATATACACAAATAAATTGTTATACATTTCCCTTAATGCTTATTGCTCCGAAAATGATGGCAAGTCATCCATTTGCTTCCAAAATTGAAGTAGTTAAAAAATAAACAGGTTCTGCTATATTTTTTCATTAGTATATAAGAAATATATATTCTAATGAAAAAATATAGCAATTGAACATAGATTGATCAATTAAAGAGAATATTATTCAAACTAATTCAACAGTTCCTTATAAAAGGAAACTGTCACGAGATTTAATATAATTTTTCCTTAAGTATTTCAGGATCAACTACAAATGGATTTTAAAGTGAATGTTTATTCAACCTAAATTCTTGCCAAAAATAAATTGCTTTACTTTCCTTTTACTAAGTACAATAAATTTTTACTTTTATGTGCATTATCTAAATAACAGCATATCAAGAGTAAGCTCAGCAGGACTTGAGAGTAATAAGCAATGTTGTAGCTGTATATTTATATTATCAATTTTTGGAGTTATATTATTTTTTAAAGAATTTTGAAAAACATTTAGCACACAGTAAAACACTGGGTATTTAAAAATAAACAGAAAGCATTCTTTTTAATTTTGCAAATCAAAAGCACAGTTGTATTTTTAGACCTTCAACAGGACCAGGTTTGCCAGGCAAAAGAAGAATGAAATGGAAAGGTGGACACTTAATCTCAATTATTCTGTCAATGATCCAGATTTGACTCAACAGAAGGTGGTTGTCTGAATGGCAAAGGTATGAATTATGAAAACCTAAGCTACATCATCAGTTTTTCTAATATGTGAATTTCAGAAATAATTCCAGAAACTTTGCAACACACATCTATAGTCTGCCAAAGAGTAACTCTAGAAGCTTGACTAGACTGTCTCTAGAGTCTAGGAAAACAAATGTAAAAGAAGGGGGAGGGGACCATAGTATGAGGATTTCTTACAATCTTTCATTACTAGGGAGTTCTTTAGCTTACAACTACATAACCACATAGAAGCAACACTTCAAAATGTCTAATTCTTCTGAAGATAAGAAAACTCTAAGAACCACCACTCCACCACTTCCATTTTAATAAGGAGCTATAATGAGGCAATTCAGGAAAACTCTAAAATAAAAGCTCCATATCAAATTAAATATCATGTTTTAAATTAATCTTTATTATAAGCACTTAAAAGAATATAACTCTTAAATTTTTCCTTAGATAAATTCATTTGTTGAAGAACATAAATTGTAACAAAACCCTGCATTTGTTTGTTTGTTTGTTTGTTTGTTTCTAAACAAAAAGTTTACTTGAAGAAAATATATCATGGCAGTTCTGTAAAAATTAAAGGTAATATCTTTTTAAAATAAAAAACAGAAAAATCACCTACTTTAAAATAAAAATGAAAATCAGAACAAAAGGGTTCTCTGTATGTCAGATACCTAAATGGAATGTAACTTTGTAAATGGATCCCTTGTCCCCTGACAGCAATATTGAGAAGATGAAGCATATCAATTACTATTACTAATTACACTAAGGGGGATGTGTTTCATTTGCCTTTATTTCACTGTAGGTCAATTACTTATTTGTGGTTAAAATTTATACATCTTTTTAAATACATAATGACATACAAGGTTTCTACAGTCACTTTTGGTAAACTATATGATTATTCTAATTGCTTTGTGGGTTTTTGTTTTGTTATATGGACTTTGCTCAGTTAAGAGACTAATATCATACATTAGTTTATTTATAAGCGTATCACTTTGCCTTTTAAACAATCTTGATATTGGCTCTTTTAAAAAATTGAAGAACATACAAGTAACACCATCTGATGGGTCAAAAGGAGTTTAAGTGAAAGCATAGAACTTATAAGGCATTTGTATAAAATACCTGTAAATCTGCCACTTATATATCCACTTAAAAGCATAATATTACACAATTTAGAATGCAATTTTCAGTTACAGGACGAAAGTACTATTAAGATGACAGGGGAGAAGTAAATATTCGGCAGAAAAGATCTCTTCACACTTTTTTGCATTATGTTTTGTCACTTTCTGGGAAATTTTTAAAACCTCAATTTATTTGTGGGTTCTTAAATGTAATCTTATAAAAGTAAAATTATTTTAACTAAGAATCCTCCTTGTTTACAAATCTGATAAAGGCATGAAGAAACAAAAGAAAAAATTCTTTCTAACTCTAGGTAAAGCAATAATATAACAGATATAAACTTTCCACAATATCAAATCTTGGGTTAAAATAAATAAATTATTCAATCTTGCATGCCTCAAAAGACATATCTTCAACAGCCATTTCGTACATTATAGTGCAAACCTATGTTTTTCTTGTATTGCTTTTACTATTGGATATAAAATCAGATTAAGGCTGTTTGTTTTTATCCAAATAGCTACAATAATGGACTACAAACAGAAAATATTTCTTTAGGAAACTAATTTTAATAATTATGGGAGCAAATAAGGAATTAATATATTTTCTATATCATCTTAAATAAAGCAATAAAATAAAATATTTCTTTGCCTCAATTCTTCTCAGATCCCATATTCCACAAGCAAAGCATGTTTAGTAGTAAAACTATTAAAGAATATTTGACATTCATAAAAGTGGTTAAGATATGTTCTGTCAGTGAGAAATATGTATTGTTTTATAAGCAGAGTTTGCTGCAACATCAGACAGAGGAGTTTCCAAAAAATTTATTTGCTGTGTGTTAAACTTTGATTGGTATAAAAAATAAACTTTCTAAGTATCATACAAGTAAAACTTTAAAAAAACAAAATTTATATTTTCTGAAGTTCCCCTCAGATATATATATATGAAATATATATATATATATATACACATATATATGTATATGAAATATATATATATACACACACATATATACATACACATATATGCATATATATACACACATACATATGGATGTGCTACTATTTTCACATTTTTCCAGGAAACAATTGTGTCTAATATTCCACACAATCTTTATAGTCTCAGAGTATTACAAAGAATATCAAAACAGTCTTGCACACACTACATCCATTATGAACATTTTCATTGCTTGAATTAAAAAACAAATGGCCCTTGCAACTTACTTTTTGTTTATACACTTTGATACTGAAATGAGTGCAAATTATGATTGCATATCATCACAGAAACCCAGTTGTTATAGATATCAATTGTTGTAGACATGAAGTATTAAAAACATAGTTTTTCATGACACTTGCATATCAGTAAATATTTTTAAACTAGCTTTTTTGTTGAATTAGTATTTTGACATTTCATACATGGCACTATACTTGCATAAATCAATCTTATTTGTAAAATTCTTCATTATGTGTATATAACACAGCTAAAACTTTCATTGTGTCCAATCTGAACACACCACTGTAGTGACTTAAGAAATTTTTTCTCTAGATATAATTATCTACTTGGAACTATCCAAATAATATACGCATATTTATTCTATAAGCAGAGAATACAGGATGGATTAGGGCTGTCACGTGCAAAGACAAGGCAAAACACTGTCCACTTTAAATATTTTCCTGTAACTTAGTGGACACTAGGTCTAACTTGCAAAATACAGTACTACAACTCTCATTGAAGGCCTCTGCTATTTAATAGCATATGAATTAAGAATTAACATTAAATTACAGTTATTAAAATTTTAAATAATAATTTTTAAAAAGAAAAGACAAAAATTTGCAGAAGGTGATCTGTCTCAGAGATATTAGCCCTCTCTAGAATATTTTAGTATATTTGGGATGCATCTTACCTGTTTGCTGTACTTGTTATTGGTTTGACAGCTGTACTCAGAGCAGTGATCTGATCCAATTGAAATGTTGTCTCCTGCTCCCACAAATGTGTTGGCTGGTGGTAGATCTTGTACAGCCTGGTGTTTTTTTCCTGCAGTTGGTGATTGTGGATGAAGCTGGACAGTGGGTAATGGGGAACTAGATTTGTAATGCCTTGCCAGGTCAGGACTGCCAGGCCCACCATTAACAGATCTGTATCGCCCCATGCTTGGGCTGTCTGACAGCTTCTCATTGACACTATCATACCTCTGTCCATTTGGTTTAGAAGCTTCTACAGTGACAATGCTGCTGTAGAGAGGCTGCTTAGATTTTTTGTTTTTCTTGTCCTTTTTAGGCTTTTTAGATTTGTCATGCTGTTGGGGTGTAAAAAAATCTTCGTGATCTTTTTTGCCAGCTTCATAGCCATTTTTATTTTTAGACCTGCAGTACCTTGCCATCACGACAATTAAAATTATTAGAATCACTGTCATAATGCCAGCAACCACCCCAATGACAATACTGAGTCTCTGTTTGCTAATTTCATAGCTTGGGTCACCAGCTATATCCTGGGTCAGTGGGGTGTGCAAACTTCTGGCTATCTGAGAGTCAATCACAGTTGCATTTGAAACACTTTCATTGACAAAAACATGCACCAGGGTGGTGGTAGACTGGGAAGGCTGCCCACTGTCATTCACTTGCACCACCAACCTGTGCAAACCATAATGCTTTTGGGTGAGTTTTCCCACCAAGGAAACCACACCACTGGTGGGATCAATCTCAAACAGCTTGAAGGGATTCCCTCCCACAATGCTGTAGTTCAGGTCTGCATTGATGCCATCATCACTGTCTGTTGCCAACACTGTAGCTACTACTGTCCTGACATTACTTGAAGGTGGCAGTAAAGTGTAGGAAATGTTTCTGGGAAGGGTAACTGTGGGAGCATTGTCATTTTCATCCATCACAAAGAGAGAGACTGTGGCTGTGGCAGATCTGGGGGGATCTCCCCCATCCACAGCCTTGACTCTGAAAGTGTATGTGGTCTGATGTTCCCGATCAAAAGACATGGTAGAGTAAATGGTACCTGTGTCATTTTCAATAGAAAAAATGTTACTGTTCTCCTCTATGTACAGACTCATCTCTGCATTCCGTCCCTTGTCAGCATCCATCACGGTGACCATTCCCACCGGGCTGTTGGGTTGCAAGTTTTCTTTCACATAAAAGGTAAAGACGTCCTGCATAAACTTAGGGTCATTGTCATTCTTATCAGCCACCTGCACAATTACCGTGGTGCTGCCCTGCAGCACAGGGATGCCTTTGTCTTTGGCGTTAACTTTAAACTCATACCTGTCAGTCTGCTCGCGGTCCAGCACCGTATTGACCAGGATGTCCCCAGAATCGGGATCAATGGCAAAGGTCCCCATCACTGATGAATCCAGCGAGTAGGCGATCTCTGCATTCTTTCCGCTGTCAGCGTCTGTTGCCAGCACAGTAGCCACCCTTTCGCCAGGTATGTTGTTTTCTGGGAAGTAAACCTCCACCACTGACTGGCCAAAGACCGGTGGGTTGTCATTGGTGTCTCCAACCTTGACCACCAAGGAATTGTTGCTGGAAAGGCTTGGGCTGCCAGAGTCCACCGCAACTATGACCACGTTGAATTCCCTGGTGGTCTCATAGTCTAGAGGAGCCGACGTGTGCAGGAAGTACTTTTTTTTGTTCTGGTCGCCCTCTGTGTCGCTGGCCGGCTTGAGCTGGAAGGGCACATCGCCCACCACTGTGCAGGTCACTACCCCATTCTCCCCTTGGTCTCTGTCTGACACCTGTACCAGAGCAATAGGGGTGTCGACCAGAACGTCCTCTGCCACGTTGGCTACCCCGTCCTTAAGGGGGATGCGCCCGATCTTGCGGATTTCAATGGACGGCACGTTGTCGTTTTCATCCTTGATGTTGAGAACCACGGTGGCCTTGTCTGTCTTGGGGGGCTGCCCACGGTCGCGGGCCATGACTGTGAATCGCAGCTGGTTCACTTCCTCGCGGTCGATACGGTGCAAGACACTGAGCCATCCCGACGTCTCGTCGAGGCGCAGTAGTCGTCTCACGGACTCGGTGGCCGCCCCAAACACGTACTCGATCTGTCCATTGACCCCCACGTCCAAGTCGGCGGCGCGCAGCTGCAGAATGGGGGTCCCAGGGGCGCTGTTCTCAGCCAGGTCAGCCTCGTACACGCTCTTCTCGAAGCGAGGGCTGTTGTCGTTCACATCGGTGATGAGCACCCTCAAGATGGCCTGGGAAGATCGAGGCGGGTCGCCGCCGTCGCGCACCCGCAAGGTCAGCTCATAGGAATCGCGTTGCTCGCGGTCCAGCGCCCCCTTCACGATCAGTTGCGGTTGCTTCTCGCCGTCCGGGGTGTCAGCCACCTGAAGCTCGAACACGCTGCTGCGGCTGCTAGGGTTAGTTCCGCCGCCGCCCTCTGGAGCGTCCAGCCGCCGCTTGGAGCCTCCAGGGCCGCCGCCGCTCGCGCCATTCCCGCCGCCCCCTGGGTAGGGGGCGCTGTCGGCTGGCCCAGAGCGCCGGCCCTCTCCACCGCTGCCGCCGCCCCCGGGCTCCTGGAGCAGCTCGTAGCGCTCGATGCCGTTGCGGCCAAAGTCACGGTCGGTGGCGGTTGGCAGCAGGTACAGCGTGCCCACAGGCCGATTCTCCTCCACCGTGAGCGTGAGCACCGGAGACGGGAAGGTGGGCGTGTTGTCGTTGATGTCGAGCACGATGACCCGACCCTCAAACAGGTCCACCCAGCTCTGCGAGGGTCCTATTACCGACACCTCGAAGTCCAGGAAGCACTCATTCTCGTCGAAGATCATCTGACACTGGGGGAGCTTCTCGCGGTCGATGCGCCTTTCGCTTGTGCTCAGCTCACCGGTGAGGTTGTCGATCTTCAGGTACTCGGAGCCCGACTCAAGGCTGAAAGTCACCTCACCCGAGCCGGTCACGATGCCCAGGTCCGAAGCGACATTGCCTATCCGGACGTCGGCGGGGCCCTCCTCCGCCAGCCGATATCGGAGGAGTTGCTTGGCCGCCGCCAGGCTGAGCCAGAGCGGCAGAAGGAGGCAGCAGCCCAAGCACCAGCCGCGCGCCCATCCCGTCGTCCGCATCCTCAGCATCTTCTCCTGCTGCTGCTGCTACTGTTCCTTCTAACCACAGCCCCCTCGGCGCCCCCCTCCTCCGGGGCTGACCGCCTGCCCTCCCCCAGTCCTCTCTCCTCTCCGGGAAAGGAAGGAACGAGAGGAAGGGGAAGGAGGGGGCAAAAGCAGCTTGTAGAGTCGGCCTATGGGGTGGGGGTAGCGATAGATCCTTCTTTTTCTTCCTCCTGCTTCTTCCGAAAGTTATTGTTTCATAATTCATGCAATGGGTGCTAATCGCCCGCTCGCCGGCCGCGGTTCAGTCGCAGTACTCACAGTTCACGGGACATTGCGCGCCGCGGGTTGGGCGCCCCCCCCCCCCCAGAGTCATCCCCGCAGCGGGAGGAGGATCCCCGGCTCGGTTCCCCGCTCTGTCGGAAGGGGCCAGAATCGCTTCAGCAGGCGGGCGGTGGAACCGGGAAGCCGCGGGTAGCAAGCATACAGCCTCCCCCGCCTGCCAGCCACGCTAGTCTTTGCTGCTACTCGAGTTGAGTCCAATTCACGTTCAGCCACTCACTCTAGACCCAGCCCCTGCTCTGGCTATGGATGCCCAAGCAAACGTGAGTCGCTTCCTGCAGGAGGCTCCGGGGCCAGCAACAAGCCAGTCTCAACTCTGACTCCTCTCAGGCAGCGGAGAAGCCAGTCAACAGAATGAAAAAATCCCCAGCAGGTCGCTTCGGGCACGGTGCAGTGAAGACTACTCGCGTCACAGCGCGGTCCGCGTCCGGATTCCCCCGGCGCGCCAAAGAGCAGCCAGAGCCATCTTCAGAGACACCCGGAGTCAGTCGCTTCTCACCCTCTGAGAGCTCGGGTTTCTCTTTTTTCTTAACAACTCTGCGCAAGGTCATTAGTCACGAAGCCGCCGCCTGAAACCGCAGAAGCCGTTCGCCCGCGGGGGCGAGGGTTGAACCGTGCGCCCGCGCGGTGCCCAAGTTTGGGTTAGCAGCCGCAGAGTCCGTGCCTTTCCTCACCTGCATTCGGCCCGCATGTCGGAGCTGTGGGATCTGCAGCGCTGTGCGCGATTCAGGGAGGAGATTGCAGCCTCTCGCTCTCTCTCTCCCGGCTCTCTCTCGATCCCTCCCCTCCCTCCCTCCCTCTTTCTCTCCTCCCTCCTCCTCTCTCCTCCCTCCTCTCCTTTCCCCTTTCCCCCCTCTCTCACTCGCTGTTCTGCACGGATCTCACTCCTTCCTGCCAGTCCCAGTGCAGGGAACTCGAGCTGAACTTGATCCCTTTGCAGTTCAAAGGTGAGCAAGTCAAGCTCCGAGCACAGTCGGCGTTGGCCCGGCGAAAGCGCACGGCCGGGCTCCCCCAATGGCAATTAACAACGTTGCCCAATTTTGTCCGGATTTCCGAAGAAAAGCCAAAGGCGGGGGGTGGGGGGAGTAGAGGGAGAGGTGGAGTCCAGAGACAGCTGCCAAGTAGCTTAAAAAAAAATCCAGTTTGCCAAGGGGAGAAAAAGTGCCAGTCGGCTGTTGTCTCGAAGTGCCCTGGCACGGCGGGTGAATTCCGCAGTTGTCTTGTCCGCTTTCGCGTCTAAGAGAGTCTGGTGGGGGCGCTCCCGCCGCCTCTCCGGCTGCCTCGACTGGGAGACACTGAACCACAACTGGAAAGCTCTTACTCTCTACCCACGAGCCAGAAATGCGCAAGTTTGCCTAAAGTGGTGGCTGCTGCTGAAGGTTCGCTTGCTGGCGACTCAGACTTGTCCCTCACGCTGCTGCTGAGGCGGCGGCAGCGGTAGGAGCCCCAACGCCGAAACTACACACTCGCAGCGAGCGTGGGAGGAGGGCCCAGCAAAAGGAGGCGGGAGGGAGCACCAGCCATCCGCTGCGCTCCGTAAAGCCCAGCTTCAGCTCAGAAGCCGCTTGGAGACTGCCCAATCTCAACATCTTTAAGTCAAAGCCTAGTCCCCCCAACTAGTACAGTCGCTTGTTCTCTGGGAGTGGGACGGGGGGCGGGGGCAAACATGCTTTCCTTCCCTCGCGCTGGTAAATTTCCTCCTCCTGATCTCTCACATGAGTGCCTATGAGAGATCTGGATCAGGTATTAGGACACCTTTCTCTTTCGTCTCTCCCCTTTCAGAAGATTTTCTACTCTCCCACAAAAGTGTCTCTGAGCAATTTACCATTTGGATTAGGGCACGGTTACTGGCGGGTTGGGGAGCCTACGTGCGTCCACAAAGCAACGCTGGTGTTCTGAAAATCCGTGATGGGCTGCAGTAGTGAAGAGAGAACCTCAAACTCCAGAGAGAGCGGGAGAGGGATTCTTGTTCTGGGAGCGCAGACTTTGGAGGGTTGGGATGGGGCGGGGGTGGGTTGGGGAGGATGCCTGTCTTTGTTTAAATGCTTGGCATTCCTGTCATCGTGCTTACATTAGGGGGTAGACCGTGTGTGCGCGCGCCTGGGGAATAAAACACATGTTGGAAGCCTGGATATTATTTTCTGAGCAGAAACCTGCAGCCTGTAGTAACTGGTAAAGTGTAGCGTCACCTATCTGGATATAAGGGAAATAAACTTTAATGGCAACTTTGTGTACCAAAGTGTCCCTAGCTCCTTTTCTCTCCTTTTGACTTTGTGCCACTAGATCTTCTCTGCTATTTCCCTATGCTAGGTTTCCCCAGTTAATTTTCAACCATGACCACTGCAGACCACTTCATCAGATCTCAGGTCTGATTGTGCTTTCTGAACTGAATCCATTTGCTCCTTATTTATTTAAGGGGCCCCTGCCAAGATTGAATATTGAAGCGGGCAGGAGATTTGGGGGGAGAATTATTACTATCTCAAAGGAGAAAAAGGGCTGCTGATGGGATTGGGTTGGTACTTGGCTCTTTTGCCCAATCTATAAGCTTAGAAGGGTTTCTTCTTTAAAAACAACAAAAAAATTGAAGCGGAGTGGGGGGGGGGGTAGTGGGAAGCAAGGAAGGAGGAAAGAAAAGAGGCAGGGAGGAAGGAAGAGAGAGAGAGAGAGAGAGAGAGAGAGAGAGAGAAAGGAGGTCTGTCCAGACTCTCTTTAGACCTGGATGAGAGGCAGAATGATGTAAACAAGATAAATACTAATAAAATCCCGAAGTAGATGTAGTGTGCGGTTGTTTGGACGAGCAATGCGAGCAGGAATGGGGGCGGCAGGGGGCGGGGAGGCGGCAGAGATTTCCAAGCTTTCCTAAAGGGGATCCTGGAAATGCGGAGAATGGAAGTGTGTGTAGTATGTGGTAGGGAACCGTCAGGTATTTTCCAGTGTGTTCAAGCAATAGCATTCGAGAGTGGCAACTCCTCCTCTGAGGATAGGGCTGGGGATCCAGCCTTCCCACTAACCCTCCAGCCGCCGTCATCCTAGCCCCTTAGCTCTGTATCTGCAGCATCAGCGAGAAAAGCTCGGTGCGCAGGCTCAGTGCGCACCGCCGCAGTCTCCAGCCGGGGGCGGGGGCTGCCGCTGCAGCGCCTTTGCAGCCGCCTAAGTGGCAGTAATGCCAAATCCCCTTATATTTGGCAAGAATACGGGCTTGTCGGAATGCCTGCTTTCCACAGACCCTGATTACAAAGGGAAAGAAAAGCCTTCTCCACTCCCAGGCCAAGCGCCACGCATTCCGATGCGCGGCAATGTGGTGCAGTGCACTCACTCCCCTCTCCGCCTTTACTAAGGTTTTGCAAACTTCAGACAGCCGCGTGGGCAGAGACGCGTACACTGCCTCATCCTACTCCAGACCATAAACTTGAATACACCCCTCTCCGTCTTCTAACAGTTGCGCGCTGCTCTGATGCGCCCTGGCCAAACGCACATTTGCTGGGGTCGAAGGAGTGGGCGGCTTTTCTCTCTCAGACCGGACTTTTCTTCCCTGATGACAGGGGGAGGGGGTGAAACGCGTCCTTCACAGTGGAGTGGTTTCCTCTGCTGGCGGGAGGTAGTCTCCAGCCCGCCTTCTCCACTCTCATCCCTACCAACTCCGCGGCTGAGCCAAGTCAGCGTGGGAAATGGGTCCGACGTGTTCTGCATTTGAACAGCGCTGCCAGACTGCCCGGGCCCTGAAGCCTCCTGACTTTGCTCCCTCCCCCAGCGGTCCCTGGCTCCGACCTTTCCGCGGAGCCGCCAAGAAGTGACAGCGGCTTTGCCCGGCGGCGCGGTTCTCGGAGACCGGAACTGAATGGGCGGGGAGAAGGTGCGGGGGAGGTGAGCGGAGCCCTACGGGCGCCCGGGCCTCGGCCAGAGCTCCCAATCCTCTTCCGCCCCCAGTCTAGGGACTGACACTCTCACTCCAGCCTCCTGCGGTTGCGGAGGATGAATGGAGGCGAGAACTCGTTTCCCCCACCCCCGCCCCATTTCCGCAGTCTTCCAGCCAGTGTCACAAGTGCTCAGCAATTTCATTAAATGGAACCGGGGGATTTAATCCCCTTAGTACCAGACCTCACCAAAGGAATATGATATCCGGGTTCGCTCCCACCCACAAACCCCGCCCGGTTTCTTAGACCCGAGGCTGCATTTATCTTCTCAACCTGAGAGGCAAAGGTTCAGAAGGAAATGGGATCGAAAGTGTAACCGGCTGCAATAAATTAAAGATCTTGCTGCTGGTGCTGCTGCTGCTTTGGTAGTCAAAACTGAAAAAGAAAATAAGAGCAGTGTCCTAAAGCCTGCATTGATCAGACTAATAAGACGTCATAAAGTGTAGGAAGCAAAATGTTTGAGGGAATGTTGTTAGGGACGTGGGGGGAGGAGGGAAAGAGAGAGAGAGAGAGGAGACAAGACAAAGAAATGTCCCTTCCCAACCAAGATGTACATAATGAAATTGATTAAAATAGAAATCCATTTCATTCTAAGATACATTTAATAAAACGTGACCAATGATTCCTATTCTATGCTAAACATCTCTCCCTAGACTTACAATATTAGCTATTTTCCTTTTGAAAATTTACCTACTAACCTCTTTTGCTTAAAACTGCTTTGCAGTAAAGAAATTTTAGTGACTTAGCTGAAAAATAGCATTCAAGGTCCTCGATGTAGTTTAAGCTTAAAGAAAAGACAGGAAGAGAAGTAACGATAACAGTTTACAGGTAAGAGTACAAAGGAATAGGTGCTAGCCATAGGATCTCAGGGGGCTTTCATTTTTATTAGACGCTGTATTATTCACAATAATACGAGAAAAAAGGTTAAATACAGTAAACATGATAGCCAGTTCTGAAAAGTAATATAAAGCAGTTTGACGGAAAGGGAGAAAGTGACTCAAGAACTCCACCAAGGGACAAACAGAGGAAATGACACCCGACATCTCCAAATCTATTGACCTTTACTCTTTTTAAAAAGGTTCTTCTAGGTTCTCTTACACATATGTAAATGTGTTTGCGAGGCCCATTTCTCTAACTTCTTTCATCAAATTTTTTGATTCAGTCTTTCTTCTCTAATTTTAGAAATATTGTCCTTTTAGTGTCTTATTTTAAATAGCATACATAACTATACATAAATATTGTCTTATAGCAAGTATGATTCTAGTCCTTGGGACTGAGAAACTTTAGGCAAATTTTGTAGCTCTAAATCCATGCTTGTAGTAGTAAAATGTGTAGTAGACTAAAATGGTTAAATTATTCATGGCAACAACAGCCTTTTTGATGGACACTAAAACTTAGCAATTTAAATAAGGAAACCACAGATTTCCTTTTAAGCAGGTAATAACTGCTTGCATCATTGGTTATTTAATTGGTCTCTAGCCAAGAAACAGAATAAGTTATACTGTTTAAATCATGAAGTCATGTATGCAAGCTATGTTAAAATATGTCAATAAAAGAAAAACAAAAATGTTAGAAACTAAATTGATTTTTGCTATTATTAGGTAACTATAAAATATTTCCATAAGTCTGATATAAATACTCTGTTTTAAAAGAAAAACAAACCCTTAAAAATAAATTTTAAATGTTTAAATGTGAACTCATAGGCTGTCTGATTTTCAGATTTGAACAAAGTGTTGGTTTTCAAAATGACGCTTGATAAAATTATTTTCACTTTGATCTTAGGAAGGACTGACAATTGATTCTTTTTGAATTTA